AAGGGGAGAGAGGAAATGGTGGGGTGGGGGCTAGTTCTGAGGGGATGGGTGGGAGGTGTGCAGAAGAAATGTGCAAATATGGGCTACCTTGTTGGAATCTAAATTGTGTAAGGATGAGAAGAAGAAAGGTAGATGTGTCAGAGTGAATAGGTGTTTCCTGCGAAATGGAGACAGTCAGCAACATTTAACCTGCCTCACTGATGATTGCAAAGTTCTGTGGCAGATGGACAGAAGGTGCTATAAATATGCAAATTATTAATTTATTATAAAAATCAGTGCCTGGAATTAAGATGTTAGCAGCAAGTTGGCTAACTGTTTAACGGATAAGCGATTTCTTATTGGTTAATGGTCCTGGTTAACCACAACACCAGGCGACCAAGTATCAGAGGGGTAGCTGTGTTAGTCTGAATCTGCATCTGATGAAGTGGGTCTTTGCCCACGAAAGCTTCTGCTCCAATAAATCTATTAGTATATAAGGTGCCACAGGACTCCTTGTCGCGCTAACACCAGGGGAGTCGCCTGCCACCCTGCACTGCTGCCTCTGATATGGAGGCAGCAGGGCAAGGTGGCAGGCAGCTCCCCTGGTGTTGTGATTAACCAGGACCATTAACCGTGGACAGAGACTGCTCCAGCAGCCCATGGATGAGAGGCTTGGATGTTTAAGGGTGAATTGTCTGGCTAAAAATCAGTCTTTTAAAAAAATTCCTTCCCTAAGTTAAACATAATACCTGAGACTGTTAATAAAGAACTTTTTAAAGTCTAGTTTACTCTTCACTTCTTATCCTGCTTTTGTTGATTTATTTCTTTCAGTCTTGAGCAGTGGATGTAGAGGAGCCAGATCATTCATGTTTGTTTGAAGACTGCTTCTAATTTATTCTACATTCAGGTGCTATTTGTAGTTGGAAAATGCTTGAGTGTTTGGAGTATTGTTTGTTTCAAAAGTTTCCACTACAATTAAAACAAAAAAATCTGTTGGCTTTGGAAAGTCTAAATTATTGTGAAAATATGACTTGTCACTTTAAATTGAGAGAGCTTTCATTCCATAATAAATTATGTATTATTACTACATAATCTGTGTTTTAAATTCAGCTCAGAAGCCAAACAGTGTAGGAGATCATAAAGCACAGGTGTAAAGTGTTCCTTTTGGAATTGTTCACTCATTAAAAAGATGGAAGTATGCTATGCCATTTAAAATTCTGAATACTCTTATGGATGTGGTCTAAATAGAACACATTGTAATAGTCTAATTCTGAAGTGACAAAGGCATGGATGATAACAGCAAGGTTTTCATTTGAAATAGTCCACAAATAAAATTGACTCTTCTGACCAGACATAAATGGAAGAAAGAAATCCTAGCCACAGATACTATCCAAAGCGCCATATGAAAACTCCGGTAATAAAACAGATACACAACCTTGTTAAGGAGAATATGACCACAATCATGTCTTCTGATGATTTCCCCCAACCAACCATCATCACCTCTAGAGGATCTAGACTGAACCTCAACAAGATTGTTTAGTCATGCTATAGTATTTACCTATTACTAAGGTACACAGCTGCTCCTGTTACTGCAGCAATCAAGATAGAGACAATTGTAACTGTAATCAGAATAATTATGCCGCTTTAAAAAAAAATAGGCTCAGCAGGAGGCTTCAATGTGTCCTTCAGTGAAATCCATAACTCACTTCTATAATGTCCAAAATAAATAAGTTAATGTGTATGGCACACAATCCAGTAAGTGATTCTATCTCTGTAAACCTGTGTTTTCTTTCACTCCCACTCTATTATTCAATACCACCGTTTATCTTGAAGGTTCCCCCTTTTCTTGGTGTTTTCTGCCCTTCCCTTCATTTCACATAAGGGAAATAGCAGAAATGGGTGAGTTGTTAGGAGGGATTTGAATGTGATAAGGACGGTGGACTTTAGGGACGTAAAATCCTGTTTAAATGTTAACTGGTAACCATCTGTTGCACAGCAATATGGGCAGAGGGCTGCTCCAGGCTGGTGTTGGGGCATTCCAAGCAAAGTGGCAGCAGAGAAGAAGGAAGAGGAGCATACTAGGGATGTTAAAGGACTAGTCGACTCTCTGATAAGCAAATGCTTATCGGATAGTCGTATCGACTAGTCACTTCCCCCTCCCCTGAGATAGAGGCAGCAAGGGGGGGGAGAAAGGGGTTCTTCAAAGTGGCTGTCTACGTCTACACTGGCATGATTTTCCGAAAATGCTTTTAATGGAAAAGTTTTCCATTAAAAGCATTTTCAGAAAAGCATGTCTAGATTGGCAGGATGCTTTTCCGCAAAAGCACTTTTTGCGGAAAAGCATCCGTGGCCAGTCTAGACGCGGTTTTCCGCAAAAAAGCCCCAATCGCCGTTTTCGCGATCGGGGCTTTTTTGCGGAAAACACTACTGTGCTGTTTACACTGGCCCTTTTGCGCAAAAGTCTTTCGGAAAAAGACTTTTGCCCAAATGGGAGCAGCATAGTATTTCCGGAAAATCACTGACGATCTTACATGAGATCATCAGTGCTTTTCCGGAAATTCAAGTGGCCAGTGTAGACAGCTGGCAAGTTTTTCCGCAAAATCATCTGATTTTGCGGAAAAACTTGCCAGTCTAGACACAGCCGCAATGTTTCAAAGGGGGAATGCCGCACAGCTGATCCCAGGCTCACTACAGTGCTGCCCCTTTGAAATGCTGCCACAGTGTTTCAAAGGGGCAGCACAGCAAGGAGCCTGGGATCAGTTGTGCAGCGCTGCCCATTTGAAATGTCGCTGCAGTGTTTCAAAGGGACAACGCCGCATGGAGCCCGGGGTCAGCTGGTATCCCCAGCTGACCCAGGGCTTCGTGAGGCACTTCCAGCTGACCCTGGGTTCCACGTGGCACTGCCGCTTTGAAACACCGCAGTGACATTTCAGAGGGGCAGCACTGCACAGCTGATTCCTGGCTCCTTGCTATGCTACCCCTTTGAAATGCTGTGGCAGCACTGCACAGAGCCCAGGATCAGCTGTGCAGTGCTGCCCCTTTGAAACTCCGCCCCAGCATTTCAAAGGGGCAGAGCCGCCCTATTGATTAGTCAATTAAATGATACTTAACATCCCTAGAGCATACAATAAGGATATTGAAGGTGTAGTCATTAGTTACAGAGAGTGGTAGATAGCATTACAGACACATTCAAGTTCAAGATTTGGGCAGGTGTTGTAAGATACACAGCCTTAAAGTCAAGGACAAGAAGTTGTAATTAAAATCACACCCTTTTATCAGTACAGTAAGTAAACGCTGTCTAGTTATAATCAGGGCTTGCCAAGCGGCAGCAAGCCCTGCTCGCCAGCTGCACGGATCTGCGCTCTGCGCATGCGCAGATCGTTCTGCGCTGGCACTTCCGGGTTGTAATCTACTCGCCCATGGCGAGTAGATTACATTATTTGTCGAGCCCTGGTTATAATCATGGCTTAGAAGATAGCAACAGCATTTTGGATTGTATGGTACCAAAGATAAGGTCACTATGAAGAAGGCCAAAGGAGAAGGAGATTGCAGTTATAAAGTTGGGAGATGATATGGGCATGAACAAGGAATTTGGAGGTTTTCTTATTTGGGGTGGAAATGAAAGGCCATATATATTGAATAGAGGAGGAAAAAGGCAACATGAGTTGGCCATAATCTGGATGTGGGGAGAAAAAGAAAAAGAGAAATCAAAGACTTCCCAATATTAATTACAGGCCTCCATGACAGAACATAGTGGCATCATTAATGGTAATGAAGATTGGAAGTAGTGGAGGTTAGGTGTATGAAAGATGAGCTATTTTTTTCAGCACCATTGTGTATTGCACTGACATCTTGTCTACAGGTGAATAAAATAGTGAATATTAATTTTGTAAGCTTCCACTCTGTTGTAATTGAGAGTATTTTTTTATTAAAAAGGTTGCTAATTCTTTTATATTTTTTGTTTTAGAACTACAAGATATTACAAGATATGCTGCCAATTGTCCATGTCAATGGAAAATCAGTATTCTGTTTTGAGGACAAGTAGTTCATCAGTAACGTCAGTTCACAATGCTAAAAACAATAACAAGGTGCACAGGTTATATTAAAGAAGTGGGGAGTACAAAATTTGAAATGAATAGAGAGAGAAATGCCCATTTAGTGTGTTGAAAGCAATATATATTTATAAGTACTTGTTTATGTTCAGGCTGTGAAAAGCAAGATTAGCCTTAGGATTGTTTTTAATTATACTGAGGCAAAATATGTTTAGGCCTGTCAAACTTTTATAGTTCATAATGAGTTTATTGCATATAATAATTATGGGTTCAGTAATTAAAAGTTAAAAATTACTGCTATTTTATTTAATATAAGCTATAAATCAAAGGTTCCTTTTGACTTATAAGTTAAGGTTAGGATGTGTCAGTAACATCAATCTTGTTTCATATTATGGTAATTGTATATTAGTAAGACTTCAAGCATGGGAGTTGTATATGTATAAAAACCTTTGTCAAGTTAAAATATCATTGACTAAGGGCTAACCTTTTCTTTTTTAATATACTATACATAATGTACACACATACAACTATTAATAATTATGGATTTTTTTAGGGCAGTTCCTCCAAACGAGAATCTTTAGCTGTTAATGCAGTTGCTTTACAAGATCATATTTTACATAACCTCCAACTCCAGGATCTTTCATTAGCGGATCCTTTTAAGTCAAAGTTAAAGAATAAAAAGAACATTTATAAACCTGTGAACAAAGAGATGGTCAGAGCAGTAGTAGATACTGGACTAAGAAAAAAGAGCATTCTCTATTCACAAAAGGAAGATCCAGAAAAAGAATATGTACTTGATCCTAAACCTCCACAACTAACATTAGGTAAACCATTGATTTGTATATTTTTGCATTTTATTTCAAACTTTAGTTAGAGTACAACAGCTAGCTATTCTTTTCAATACTATAACTTAGTATAAAGCTGTGTAATGCATAAAAAGTTGCTAAATATATCAAAATCAAGTACTTCGGGCCTTCAAGAAAACAGTGATCATTTAAACAATAAAACTGCCATCAAAATGGTTGAATATTTCTCACATCTATCATATATTTGAATTTATTTTGATTGTAAAAGGAGGAAATTAGTAACTCTGGATGAAAAACTTTTTTATCCTAAAAGCATCAGGGGGTAGCTGAGTTAGTCTGTACAGGATAAACTTAAAAAACAACAAATAGTCTGGTAGCACTTTAAAGACTAACAAAACATGTAGATGGTATCATGAGCTTTCGTGGGCACAGTCCACTTCTTCAGATGACTGGGCTGTGCCCACGAAAGCTCATGATACCATCTACATGTTTTGTTAGTCTTTAAAGTGCTACCAGACTATTTGTTGTTTTTTAAGTCAAGCAGGCTCTTTCCTCCACTGATTTTTATATATATTTTTATATTAGTGATTGACAATACAATGCAATAGAAGTAAAAACAAAAACAAGTGTTATTTTTAATATTGGGATGCTTACATAAGATTGTGTGCAACTATTGATTTATCTTTTGTTTAGTAAATAATGTTTACTAGTTTGGTAATAAAATTGTATGATTTGCTAACATTTACCCACCCTAGTTCAAACTTTAAAACATTTTTTCCACAATGATCCTGGGGCAAAATCCAGCAAGAATTAACACCTGTAGTTAAATACCTACTTCACATTAAACAACTAACATGCAACAAGATAAAAGTCACAGAAGTGAGAGCTAAGAATCGCACACAGCTAGTAAATTTCTTTTTAAAAACCCCTGTACTCTAACCTTCCATAACTCTTGCTCTTCAAGATGTGTTGTTATATCCATTCCAATGTAAGTGTGCACTTACCCCGAGCACTGCTCCCTCACTGGTATTTATCAGATCAGCTCTGGTCCCGTGCCCTTATAGCAACAGTTTGTTGCTCCTCAGTTCATTCTGGATGGCAGCTTGGACGGGGGTAGGAGGAAACATTGGCATTAGTGGTAACTAACACATCAAAGATTATGGAGTGCTTGTTCATATCCATTCCAAAGTAGGTGACTCCCAAGCAGTTGTACAGGTGGAGGATTCAGAGTTCATTGGCACACTGACTAATAATGTTGGTCAAAATATGCATCATTTCTAGCTTGCTCGGTGATGGCATACTGCGATGTGAAAGTGTGGACTGATGACCACATTGCCATTGAATCGAGACTTGCGCCATTAATGTTGCCACCAGTGCTCAAGCTTTTGTAGAACTGGTTCTCACTGGAGGAGGCAAGACCTTTGCTAAGTTGTAGAATAGGGGTGGGCAATAATTTTTGACTGGGGGCAACTTCAAAATTTTTTGAAGTGGTCATGGGCCATGGGGCCTCAAATGGAAAGCGTAGGGCCTTTAAATAGCAGGAGTTGAAAGGGCTCATGTCTCCACTGTGGCTCCCAGTCATCACATTAGCTGGAGATGGGAGCTATAAGCCCTTTCAACTCCTGTTATTTAAAGGGCTCACTGCTCCCAGCCTCACTGCTAGCACGTTGTCTGGGAGCTGGGGATGCTAGCCCTTTCATCTGCTTCTATTTACAGGGCTCACATCTTCCCTGGGGCTGTTTCCTGTCAGCCATGGGGAAGTGTGAGCCCTTTAAAAAGAAGCAGTTGAAAGGGCTTGCATGTCCCTGGCTCCCAGGCAATGGGCTAGCATGGGGCCGGACCTGCGAGCCCTTTCAATTGCTTCTATTTTTTTAAATTATATTTGTGATAGAAATCCCAGGCATGCAGTCTGGGACTGGAGTACCACTGTGCCTCCTTAACTCGCCAGCCTGGGCTGTCTCTCACAATGCTTTGTCAGTGATTGGCAGCAAACCTCTCCAGGTGCTATGATCACTCAGCACATCAGTAGCTGGAATTCCACACCCAGCTAGCTTGCAAGAAAACTCCGTGAGCCACTCATTAATCACTCAGAGAAAGACAGTAGCCAAATCCCTCCATCTCCCAGCCTTGTACCCCAGAAATATACCATCTTGCCCAGTTCAAAATGTGTAGTCCAAATGTATTAATTGATTGACTACTTCATCAATGAAGAGTGGATAAACACAAGCCTTTGTAAATCCTGAGCAAATTTACTAAACACTTCAGGCAAACTCACTGATAAAGATGAATTGTAAAACAATTTTACTGACTACAAAAGATAGATTTTAAGTGACAATAAGTGATAGGCAAAAAGTCAGAGTTAGTTACCAGAAGAAATAAAATATAAGAACATTGTCTAAACTCTCCCAACACTATCATACTGGGCAACAACTAGATTCAACAGTTTTTAATAATAATAAATGGAAATATACCTATCTCACAGAATTAGAAGGGACCTTGAAAGGTCATTGAGTCCAGTTCCCTGCTCTTGCAGCAGGACCAAGCACCATCTCTGACAGATTTGCCCTATATCCCTAAGTGGCCCCCTCAAGGATTGAGCTCACAACACTGGGTATAAGCAAGCCAGTGCTCAAACCACTGAGCTATCCCTGCCCCCACTAGAAGGTGCCATTCAGAATACACAGGGTTTCACCCTTGAAACCTGGGCCAGTCTCCTCTGTTGAAGTCTTCAGTCTTCTGAGCATCCTACTTACAGCATAGGTGGGAGCAGGAGACTGGCAAAGCTTGGGGCCTGTGTATTCTGTTTTATAAACTTAATGCAGGTGCTTGGAGAACACAACTCCAGGCTAGGGATGAAAATAGTGTAGTCAATTAACTGATAAGCAAAAGCTTATAGGTTAATGCTATAGACTATATGAATTTCCCTCCCTCTCCCCTCGATAATACATTTTTTAGCGGGGCTGGCCAGCAGCCCAGCTCAGTCCTGGCCTGCGCTGGGCCAGGGACCAACCCTCATTGTGGCTCTGCATTTAAAGTGTGTTAGGAGACAGGCAGCCTGGCTCAGTTCTGGCTCATGCTGGGTCCAGGAGCTCAGGTCCTCCCCTTCCCAGACAGGGGCGGCTGCATGGTATAACAGGCAGCTGGTCAATGAGGAGAGCTGGTTTTTAAACTGTCTTCTGATACACAGGCAGCATCACAGAATAGCAGGGAACTCCTCAGGAGTGGGGCAGGAGCACACTGGCTGCTAGACCCACTCCAGAGGACTATAGAATATCTGACTAACCCATAAGAATTCATGAGGTCAATCGACTATTCAGTTAACCAATATTTAGCATCCCTACTCCAGGCATGTCTGGTGGGCTCAGGCAAGGTTGAATAATTCTCCTGTGGTGTGGCCTTAGGTGAGTCATTCAATTGTAACTCCCATGCTGAACAATGGCTGTTGATGATTGTTTGATACCTGACCAGGTGTAGGTTATTTTCCTTGCTCTTATCTCTGGAGAGCTGATGTCTGGCTGATTCAACAACCTATAGCATGTTTCACGGACAACCATACAACACAATCTCATAACTTCCTATGCACTAATGATATTCATATTTAGATAGAACAGTGACTTTCACTAGATTATAACTCCCTCCCTGATATCTCACATGTCATGCTTTTATATGCATTTTCTATCCTTGGGCAGGTTGAATTTTCTTTTGGGTGGGTTGAAATTTTTTACGTGCAACACCAATAATGAGGTAGTGCATGGATGTGCACCACCAGTACAAACAAAAAACTATATATATATTTTTAAACAGTCCGTAAGTGTGGAAGAAAATATATTAAAACAAGGGATAGTTAACAAGGAGCAATGTTTATTTAATATGAAATCAAATAAAAAGAATATTAACATTGCCCTTAGAGTACATGTATCATCATCCTTTCTAGGAGTCCCCAGCTGCTCCCGAGCTCCCCAGCTGACCCAGGGTTCTGGGGAAATTCTGGGAGCCCAGGATCAGCTGGGGAGTCCCCCGCTGAACACTGGGCTCCATGGCTTTGAAATGCAAAAGAGCCCCCACTGGGGACTCTCGTGCATTTCAAAGAAGGTGCCGCATTCAGCCCAGAGTCAGCGGAACTTCCTGCTGGCCCTGGGCTCCCCACTGTGTTCCAACTTCGAAATGCACAAGAACCCCTGCTAAGGACTCTTGTACATTTCAAAGGCTAACTGTGAAAGTGCTTATTGACAAGACGATGGAAATGCCATTAACTACTGGACTAGCAGATTAATATCTGGTATAATCAGCAAGTTAGAGGGTGCGTTCCACAAAGATGTATATGGAGCAATCAGCAAATGTCAAATAAATAAGCATAGAAACCTTGACAGTTTTTAACCTTAACCTCTCCTGCCTTCACCTTCCACCACTGTCCTACATCTACTTTATAAAATATTGTAACCGATTTTAACGAGGCACAAAAATTCTCATTTTGTCAACAAATCAAAGTCAAATATTAGAAGGGAATATTAGAAGGCTCTGTGGAGCCTCTTTCTGACCATTTGTCTCTTGTCAGGCTTTGAGAGGCTCAGCCCTCCAGCTAAGTCACAAAGTTCAGTCCCCTTCCTGGGTAACAAACAGTCCAAATGAAAGTGACAGCTAACCAGCAGAATAATAAAAAGTAGAATATTGTTTCTTCAAGTGGTCCCCGTGGGTGCTCCACTGATGGTGTTGGGCTCGTCCTGGTGCCGCAGCTTGGAGACTTTCAATAGCTATGTTCATTCAGGCCGTGCATGCGTGATCAGTGGCTCGTGCCATTCACACCCTTTGATTGGCGTGTGCACCTGGCTCCCGCTCAGTTCCTCTCAACTGTCCTCGGCCACAGAAAGAGCTCTTCTCTCCTCAGCGTTTCTTTGGATTCCCTTAGGAGATCTGTAAATAGTTCATTGTAAATAGGTTATCCCCTTCTATTTCAACATTCTTCTGTTACCTTAAAAAAAAGGTTGTTATAACACATTATTGAACTGCCAGGGCTTCTC